TGGGGGGGGGGGGGGGGTTCTTAGAAAATGAGATTTTTTTTTGCATTTGGAGGTCAGGAAGATTATTTGAAGTACATTGTAATAAAAACAGGTGCTGAAGTTCTAAATTGACTTTGACAGCAGCCTCAGCACAACCCAGGTGTGTCCTTCCTTCTAACTATGCTGAGGTTTTAAAGCACTGCAGTCCGTATGTCCCTGGGGCAAGTCAGGGCAAGTGAAGGCCAGCAGGCTGGAGGGCTGGCCAAAGGCAGATGTTGAACTTTTACATTAGGGACCCACTGGTCTGCAGGGTTAGGTGGGGACACCAGCACTGAGCCAGAGTTCCAAGCAGTAAAGGCATTGTGGCAGGCTCCCCTAAGCAGTAGTGTCCTGGGGTGTAGAGTGGGATTCACAGTCATGTTCCCCCCGACCAGGCTTTTACGTGGGTGCTGGAGATCTGGGCTCAGGTTCCAATGCTGTGCAGCATATACTTTCCCCACTGAGCTGTCCACACAGGCCCCCTTTGCAGTTTTTTAACCCTTTCTGGAGACAATGTTGAGTGAAGTCCTCGAGCTACAGAGATGATGTTTCCAAGACTAACAGCACAAACCTTTTGACTGACAGGGGGACAGAATTTGGGGGGAAATGAGCAAGTAGGGGATTCCAGGACACAAAGTTAGCAGATGTACAGTGGGTACTCTTGAGCTTGGGGACCACTGTCTTTTGTTAGATGCAGAGCCTTGGACTGTATGACTAAGGCCCCAATTGGTCCATATTAATAGTAACCAAGGTACACCGAGCTCCAGAGGAGAAAGGACCAAGTGGCATGATCAGAGGGAACTGGTCTTCTTAGAGGCACGGGAACTTGGGCTGCAACAGAAGCGACAGGGCTTCACCTGCTGCTCTGTCAAAGTCCCACGAGGGCGGGAGGTGAAGGAACAGTGAATGGGTATGAGACCTTTCCTTTAAGGATTAAAACAATTATTAGAGAAAAATATTACCTGGTCAAATACTTCTTATATAAAATGCAGATTTCTGGTGGAATCACATTTTCGTCAGATTGGGATCCATAAACTTGAATTTGAGAGCTATCCCAGATAACTTTGAGATGCCCCGAGGTTTAGAAACGTCATCTAGAACAAAGTTCTGGTTTCTCGATTATTTAAGAATTATGTTCTAGAGGTTGGGGATGAAGCTCAGTGGTATAGATGTGTGCCTGTCATGCACAAAACCCTGGGTTTGTTCTCCAACCCCAGAAAAGACAGAGAGAGAGAGATTCTAAAAGTCACTGTTGCAAAAAATGCCTCAAATTCACAGGAAAGAAGCAAAATTGGGACCTTTGGAGGGTTTTGGGGTCTGTGTGTTTGCATGTATGCATGCACTATGTGTGTGGAGATCCATGCAGGCACACGTGGAGGCCAGAGGTTGATACTGGGGTGTCTCCCTCTGTCACTTGTCACCTCAATTTTTGAGACAGGACCTCTCGCCGAACATGTCGCTTGCTGCTTAGCTAGGCAGGCTGGCAGCAAGTCCCCTGGGATCCAGCTATCTCCCCCCACCCATCACAAGGGTTACAGGCATGCAGGTATGAGATAGTATTATGATATTTTCAAGTATTAATTTTCAGCCACTGAGTTTTTATCATACACTTAAGAGTGAATATACTTAGATAGGAAATCTATTCTCTCCTTATACAGATTTTACTTCCTTGCAGTGGAGGCATTCAAGAGAGATTATAGAAGCAACCTAGCAAGAATGATTATTCTGAGCACTCTGCATGTGTTGGGTGTGGTACTGGGGCCTAGACCCAGAGTGGATGAGACTGTGATGTCCCAGTAGTATAGAAAAAAGGGCCTGGACACACAGTGGGGCAGAAATGTGTGAACCATGTGAGGCTGTGTGGAGCTGGGCCTGGATTCTCTGCTGGCTTGGAGCCCTTGGGTTGCAGACTCAAGGGGAGGAGAGAGGCTGTGAGGTGTTCTTGCGGTGGGGTTGAACTGGATCCTGAAGATTGTACAGGGGCCAGCTGCTGGACCCTCATACTCATTGGTTTCCAAGAATTCATATTTTTTCTTTTGGTAATAACTTTAATTTTATTATCCCATCATATTGTGACTGAAAATACATTTGACGATTTCATACACATACACATGTACTGTGATCAGGTTCCTCCTCCTTGCCCTCTCTTACCCCCCCCCCGATGCCTACTGACCCCATGTACGCCCCAACTAGTTCCTGTCTGCTTTCACGTCTTGTTTGTTTCATATTTGATCTGCTGAGTTCAGTTAAGGTTGTTTGCATGGGTGAGGGGTTGCTTAGTGGAGTGCGGGCAATTCACCAGTGCCTACCACTAAAGAAAATGACTCCCCCTCCCCCAGCAGCCATTAACTTCCAGCAGCTCCTTAGGGAGGGTGGAGCCTCCTGAGCCCTTCCCCTATCCATGATGGAATGTTGAAAGGGAATTCATATTTTTGAGATCCAGGTTCTTTATTGTTCCCCCACACAATGGACTCAAACCTCACAGGTACCAAAATTCCTCTTCCTCTGTTGTTACCAACAATAGTAAATAAACTACAATCAGAAACCCCAGGTTCTGACTCTCCTTTTGGGGTGTGCACAGCTGTGGCTGTGGTAGGGTCCACATCTGCTAATTGCTCCCACACTGAGCTTCTAAGTATCTTTCTTTTGCTCCCTTCTTCTTGACCTTATGAACTTTGACCAGCCTGGTGATGTTGGCTGCTTCTTAAAGCAGAGCCAGCCCACCAGAGGTCAGGGACTAGGAGACCCCCGTGGCAGTTTTCAGTCCCATGCCATGTGTTTGGCAAGCAGAGCTGTCCCATGCTCTGAAAACCAGAAGAGCCTAAGATGACTTAGGAATATCTTCAAGATGTTTGAGTTATTGCACATGACAGTCTTTTATAAACTCTTGAGCATTATTCAAATGTCAGCCATTGCTCTATGCAGCCTCTGCAGGGATACAAGACTAGGGAGGCCTGAAGAGTTCCTGTACTTGGGCTGGAGAGATGGCTCAGTGGTTAAGAACACTGACAATTCTTGCAGAAGACCTGGGTTCTAATTCTAGCACCCACCTGGCAGCTAACAACTGTCCCTAACTCCAGTTCCAGGGGATCCAACAGCTTCTTCTGTCCTCCATGGGCATTGTACAACATGGGTGCACTTACTTACATGCAGGCATAACACTCATACACATAAAATAAAATAAATTAATAAATTAAAAAAAAAGAGTTCCTGTACTTTGAGGCTAGAGAGATGGCTCAGTGGTTAAGAGCATTGGCTACTCTTGCAGAGGACCTGGGTTCGGTTCCTAGCACCCATATGGTGGCTTACAACCTTCTGTAAGTCCAGTTCCAGGTGATCTGGTGTCCCTTTCTGGACTCCATGGGCATGGGTGCACTTACATGCAGGCAAAATGCTTAAACACATAAAATTGAAAAAAAAAAAAAAAAAGTTCCTGTACTGGGCTGCCAGTATAGCTCAGTTGGTAGAGTGTTTGCCTAGCATGTAAAAGTCCCCAAATTTGATCCCAGCACTGAATAAACCAGGTGTGGCACATGCCTACAATTCTAGCACTTGAGAGATAAATCTGAAGTTCAAGGTCATTCTCTGCTACACAGTAAGTTGGAGGCCAGACAGGGATACAAGAGTCCCTATGTAAAAACAGCAGAGCTGAAGAGATGGCTCAGCGGTTAAGAGCACCCTTTTCAAAATCCTCATTCTGAAAGTCCTGATACTGGGTCATTTGAAGAAGCATGGTTGGGCATTTCTTTAATCTCAGCTCTCGGGGAGGCAGAGGCAGAGGCAGGCAGATATCTGTGAGATTGAGGCCAGCTTGGTCTCCATATTGAGTTCCAGGCCAGCTGGGCCAGAGACCCTGTCTCAAAAAAGACACACACACACACACACACACACACACACACACACACACACACGGAGCTACCTAAGAAAAGATTTTGTTTTGGAAGTTGCACTCTGTTTACATATTAAAGAACATGTATCTGTTTGTGACTGTGAGATAAGAGCTTTAGAGGGCCTAGGGAAAATATTTCAGATGCTACGTTTTGTAAGTACCAGTGTCTGGCACTGAGTCATTTATTATTATTATTTTTTAATTTTGTGTATATGCATGTATTGCCTGCATGTAGGTAAGTGCACCCGTATCGTGCATTGCCCGTGGAGGTCAGAAGAGGCTATTGGATCCCCTGGAACTGGAGTTACGGACAGTTGTTAGCTGCCATGTGGGTGCTGGGATTCGAACCCGAGTCTTCTGCAAGAACAGTCAGTGTTCTTAACCACTGAGTCATCTCTCCAGCTCCGGTACTGAGTCATTAACAGCCACCTGTGTGTGTTCTTTCTATGCACCTTTCATTTTATACCTTTAGTTCATCAGGTGCACCAACCTGTGTGTTTCCAGGTTCCTCTCTGTCCATGTCTAGCTCTAAACCGTGGCTTCTGTTGGATTCTGGACTTATGGGACAGGTTCATCCTTAGGTATTTTAAAAGCAGTTTGAATCAACTTTTGAGTGTTAGGTGGAGTGCGTTTGTCATGGTACATAAACTGTCCAGTCAAATTAGGTCAGTCTAGGGTAGCATTGCCCTTCTGTTTTCAAGCATTAGCATTCAGATTTGGGGAACCAGATTGGCTGCTGTGGCTGCCTGATATGTTTCTGTAATGTGCACTCGGTACCTTCATTCCTGTAGATATTACTGGTTTAGTCACTTTGCTTTCTTGGTCCCTGAATTTCAGAACCACCAGTATCCCCGAGTCTGTGATGGCTTGATTCCTATCTTTTCCCCATGCACTGAAGTAACAGGTTTCCTTGCTTTTGTGGCTGTGGAATTCCCTCTGCCACCTGTTGCAATGGGTGACCTTGTGGGTGAGTAACAGCGCTGTCCTGTTATTCACAGAGAGAGCTGAGCCAAACCTCCCAGGAACAGAAGCAGCTTTCAGAGAAGCTGCAGGATGAGGTGGAGCAGAAGGAACAGCTGAGAAGGCTGAAGAATGAGATGGAGAACGAGCGATGGCACCTGGACAAGACCATTGAGAAGCTGCAGAAGGAGGTGAGGGGCAGGAGGTAGAGTGAGGAGTAGGCAGACCCAGGGGAACCCAGTGCCCCCTGTGATGAAGACTCTGCAAACCCACAGTTCTGCCCAAGTGCAGATGTGCCTGTGCCTTGCAAATCCCGTTGAGCTGTTCTTTGGAATTGTTGAAAATTCCAGATGCAGAGAAACTGATTTAAAAAGTAAAAGCCTCTGGACTCTGGACACCAGAATTACCTTCTAACAATGAGCAAACACAGCCAGGTGTGGACACTCACTTAACCAACGTTCCCAGAGCTGGAGTTGAGTCCTCTGGGCAGAGCATGCATATTTGCATCTCTCTGATGTAACGAGAAGCTCAGCAGGCAGTTACTGAACCCAGCAGCTGCTGCTCCTCAGTTCACCTCTGCCCCAGAACACACATAGGAGAAAGGCACAAGGCTGACGGGCTCCCTGCCTTCTAGGAGCTCACACGAGAGGCTGCCAGTTCTGGTACTTACCCTGTGATGGGCACTTTGCTGGCACTTCTTTAGATCTAGCTAGAACTCTTTATGTCTGGGTGTTGTGCCAACTCTGGCAATACCTCTGGAAGGTAGATATTACAATGTCAGTGTTTCCAAAGTGGACATTGCCAAGGCCCAGAGCAGCTAGGAACCTGCCGCAGTCATATGCTGGTACATGGGAAACAAGGGTGTGACCCCAGGACTATGTCTGGCGCCCAGAGGATGTGCTGTTCACTCCTCCGTACTGTTAAAAAGGCAGGGGTGGTCAAACCTGGAGAGTCTGGGCAGGTTCTGGGTGGCCTCAAAGGAGGCCCTGGAAGATGGGGCACAGAGGAGATGCTTTCTGTTGAAATGGGGTCAGATGGAGTTTGGCGTAGTGGCTCACACCATGCCACGTCTTCAGATGGCTGACATTGTTGAGGCCTCCCGTACATCCACCCTGGAGCTGCAGAACCAGCTGGATGAGTATAAGGAGAAGAACCGCAGGGAGCTTGCAGAGATGCAGAGGCAGTTGAAGGAGAAGACCCTGGAGGCTGAAAAGGCCCGGCTGGCAGTCCTGAAAATGCAGGATGAGGTAATGTGGATAATCTTCCCCTTTATCCCTTCTTCAGAGCGTCCTTCTGCCAGCTTTGAAGGGCTTCTGTTGAGGGACTCTTAGGCCAGCTTTGTGCTTTCTTCTTCATTTATTGCCCTCCAGTGATTACACAGCAAATGACATTCTAAGACACAAACCCCACTGGCACAGAGGCAAAACCGACATGTTGCACTGGGCCATTTTCTTGATTAGTCCAAAGTTTCCTGCCTGGAAAGTTGAGCCACCACTTTTGGAACAGAGATGTTGGATCCGAGTCCAGATGTGCCGTCTGCGTCCATGTCCTCTTATCCCTAGAAGGAGAATGGTAGAAAACGCAGGATTCTTTTGGCAGTCTTTTTTTTTTTTTTTTTGGTCTTTTTGAGACAGGGTCTCCCTGTAGCCCCAGCTGTCCTGGAACTCCCTATGTAGACCAGGCTGGCCTTGAACTCACAGGGATCCGCCTGCCTCTGCCTCCCAAGTGCTGGGATTAAAGGCGTGCGCCACCATGCCCGGCTTGGCAGTCATTTTTTAAAGATTTATTTTATCTGTATATCTGCATGTGTCTGTGTATATGAATCTGTGTGAGTGTATGTGTACATGTATGTGCAGGTGCTCTCAGAGGTCAGAAGACTGTGTCAGATTCCTTGAAACTAGTGTTATAGGCATTTTTGAGCTGCCTGACACAGGTGCTGGGATCGAAACTCTGGTTCTCATGATTGAACGCCAAGTGCTCTAAACTGCTGAACTATCTCTCCAGTGCTGGCAATCATTTTTTACTTTTATTACAGTGGGCTGCTAAATAAGAATTTCAGGGTGACAGAAATGGAGGCTAAAAGAAGTCCTTAGGGGCTAGGCGCATGGCTCAGTGGTAGAGTGCTTGGTTGGCATGTGCAAGGCCATGGGTCCCATCCCTAAGTCTTAGAAATTTATGAGAATGCCATTAAAATGTATTCTTTCTATTATTATTATTATTAATTATTATTGTGTGTTTATAATGCATGAGTGCCAGGGTACATGTGTGGAGGTCAGGGGCAACTTTTTGGAGTTGATTCTTCCCTTCTCCTTTTACATGTGTTTGGAGATCAATCTCAGGTCATCATGTTTGCACAGCTAAGCACTTAGCTGCTGAACCAGCTTGCTGGTCCTAAAACATATTCGTGGTTTTATAATTAAGAATAATAGAGCAAAAGAAATTTTGCAAATGTTGTACTCTTGATCTTTGAAGAGAAAAATGGAAGGAAGCCGGAGACTCAAACACCATAACTTTCTCTCTTTGTCTCTTTCTGTCTCTCTCACACATACCCCAGTGTGTCATTCTGTGGCCCACCTAGCCTTAGACTCAGCCTCTTGGATGCTGGGATTACAGGCATGAACCACCTCATTTGGCTGTGGCGTCTGTGGATTTTACCCAGGCCTCTGCCCAGGCCTCTACAAGCTCAATGCCCTTGAACAAGTTGCCCCAGTTTTCTGAGCATCTATTTTCATAAAATATTAGTGGCTTAGTAATTAAATAAGATAATACATGAAACTATATAGTGGTGCTACTATGTCCTGGACACCTCATACATGCATGTCCCTGCCCCCTCTGTCTTAAAGGTTTGTTTTTTTTTTTTTTCACATACAGTTCCAAGAGTCCACAGATTCCATAGGAAAACAAGTTTTCTTTAAAAAACAAACTTTAACTTCTTTGATGATCAAAGGAAGTTTTCCCATGAGTCAGTTCTAAAACTATCAAAGAACAATGGGTATTTATTACAGATTTCTAGAATACTTCTGAAAGGGCCTTGATTAACAAACCCCCTCTGTCTCTGGGTCATATGATATAAGACTCCAAAAAAAATGGAAATGGACACACTGATACCACAGTTCTCTTTTCCACTAAAAAATTATTTTCACTTTTATAGCAGATGGGTGGAGGGGCTCAGATATTTGCCAGAACACCAAGAGAAGCCTGGTCTGTTTTGACTTCAAAAGCCCACAGTGTCACTGTGACCTGCACAGGGCTCCTCATGACTTTTTATGTAAAGGTTTTTAGGCTAGACACTTTGGAATAGACAAAAACTGAGAAATTCTCTAGACAGATAAGGAAGCAGAAGGCCACAAAGATTAGTTAGGGCCAGCTGGAGACCAGGGTTGTTTATAGAAGAACACTAATACGGATTTGGAGAGATGGCTCAGCAGTTTAGAGTGTTTACTGATCTTGCAGAGGACCTGAGTTCAGTTCCCAGTACCTATGCTGGGGTGAATCACCACTGCCTGAAACTTGAGGTCCATGAAATCTGACGTGCCCTTCTGGCCACTGTGAACACGTGCATGCATGTGCACACACACGCGTGTGCGTGCGCACGCACACACATACACGTATTAATGGAAGCAGAGATGGCTCTTCTGGGTTTCCCCAGTGGGGTATTCCTATGAGGTAGATTTGTATCACAGACTTGAATGCCTCATCCCTCTGAAGGGAAAGGAGGCAGATGCTAACCTTAAGATGCTGAGGTCATGGAGGTATTTAAAACAGAAGTGAATTAACAAGTCACCCCAGATCCTTGAAAAACTCATGTTTATTTCTGTTCACTGCTTCTCTCTCTTAGTTTAAAAACTAAGGGGGTTGCACAATGCTGGTGTATGAGCTGCCTTTGCCTGGAGAGCAGTGAGCAGGCTAGCATTCTGCCTGAGATGTGATCTGGAAGTTTCTGATGAAGGTGATCTTTAGGAATTAGGACTTAGAGTTCATTATCGAGAAAGAGAGAGGAGAGAGAGAGAGAGAGAGAGAGAGAGAGAGAGAAGTCAGAGTTGCTTATAAGCTTCTGTAGGAGCTTGGGTAAGGAGTTATGTACAGGATCATGGGCAGGTTACTAGTGCCACACCACTGAAGAAAATGTCTTTCCACCAGCAACCATCAACTATCTATAAATCCTCAGGGAGAAGTGGGGCCTCCCAAGCCCCTTCCTGCTCCATGATGTAATGTTGATGGGCTCGGCTGTGCAGGTAATCACAGCTGTTGAGAGTCCAAGAGTGCAGTGGCCCATGCCGTGCCTGTAAGACAGTCTTGCATAGCACTCCACGCCTTCCTCAGGCTCTTCCATTCTTTTTGCCTCCTCTTCTGTGATGTTCCTGAGCCTTGAAGGGATGATACAGCTGTCCCGTGTAGGGCTGTATATGCTTACTTTTGATTCAGGATAAACAGGGTGGGTGTCCCTTATCTGAATGCTTGGGACTGGAGGTGTTTCAGACTTCAGAAGGTTTGGAATATTTATATAGATTTTACCAGCTGGTCATTTCCAATTTTAAAAAATCTGAAATCAGAAATACTGTTTTTAGTTGTGGATTTTGGAGCACTTGGGGCTTTGAACTGGGGATGCTCAGCCGGTACTATGCTCTTCTCTTGCATGTCCTAGTGAGTACTCTTAGGAGGACACTCTTGGGTGTTGGGAGATGGAACCCTACTGGTGGGGGCAGGAGGGCATGCTGGGTATTGGGAAAGACATACTAGGTGTTGAGGAAGACGCTAAGAAGGAAACTTGGACTGTACATTCGATTGGTATTCTTTCTGTTATTTTTAGGTATCATCTCATCTGATTCTCTGTAACATATGTTTTTAATTTTCCCAATCTATAAATGAGGAAATTAAGCCCTGGATAGGTTTAATGACCTGAAGTATATCAAACTGTCCATATCCAGAGAGTGCCCCATCACCCTTTTCCATGGCTGACCAATTGTCCCCGGCCGTCACTCACCATTACCACCCAAAACAGACTAGAGGCTCTGTCTAGAGATGTCTTCTTCCAGGGCACTGTTCTAGAAACAGCAGGTGTTCTGCCAGGCTCCAAGAGAGCTCATTCCTGGGTTTCCCCACAGGTCTCCTACACTGGCCTGATTTATTGGCACTTTCCTGTGACAAATCCCCAGAGTGTAGTGCACTTACTGCTCATTTCTATGAACTACTGGAAGGGCTAGACCTCTGGGAACCAAAGAGCCAGGGTTAGGCCTCAAGGAATTACCTACCCGGTTGTTTAAGGAGTACCTACTACCCTGTGAGGTGACAGGCTCTTAAGAATCCTACTGTTCTGTTGTACTTTCTTCAAAACTATCAGATTAGTGCCACCTTGTGGATGAAAAGAGGACTCTGTGGTCTTGGCTGAGAGATCATTTTCTTCTACATGACAAAGGCTGTTACCTAATGAGTATGTTTATGTTGTTAGATTTTGTGCCTGAAGGTTGTTTTGGGGTCATTAATTTGGTTTTTATTTTACTTTACTTTTAAACCTCTTTTAAGTGATGTTTATAAAGGTGGGTAGAAAATTACTGTCTGTAAAGCATTAGCTATGTTAGTGGCTTTCAAGTGTTTTTGGGCCATAGCCTGTGATAAGAACAGTGCCACTCATTACAGCCTAGTGATCTACACTACACACAAATAAATTGATATCTAATTCAAAAGGATCACAATAGTTGCTCATTTAAAAATTCTGTTTAATTAAAAGTATTAGTCAACAGCTAATAGATTGAATTTATGACCTAATGACTTACTACTTACAGCTAGAAAGCCCCCTCTTTTTATAAAAGAAGTTAACTGAGGCCCAGAGGGAAATGGGACTTTCTCAGGGTCTTCCAGCCACTCTTTGATTTGGGGTGGCCCATGGGCCATCTGTTGGGGTCTCTGTATCCTTGTGGGCCCCAGGAACCTCCCAACACCCCTTCCTTCTAGATGCGCCTGAAGGAGGAAGAGTTACGGGACTACCAGCGAGCTCAGGATGAAGCTCTCACAAAAAGACAGCTTCTAGAACAGTCACTGAAGGACCTGGAGTATGAACTGGAGGCCAAGAATCACCTCAAAGATGACCGCAGCCGACTCGTCAAGCAGATGGAGGTATGTGGGTGCATTGGCGGAAGCTGAGCTGCGGAAGGCCAGTCTGGGCCCCCAGGGGAAGGTTCCCTGTGTGTTCCTTAGCCTTTGGAGGAGTCTTGAGTTTTTATCCCTACCAGCCTGATGCTGTTAACGTTATTTCTTGATTTTGGGGAGGAGCTAATAATTCATCACCATGTAGGATGTCAAAGCTGGAGGGAAGATCCAATGGCTTCATTGTTTTAAAGCGAAGGAACAGATCTGCAAAGAGCTTAGCTGCTGGTGCCCAAGGACAAGTTTCTGCTTCTACCTTTGTCCATGGTTCCACTACAAAGGGTGCAGGAGTACAGCCTGTTCAGCCAGGGACCACACTGTGCCTTGGACCCCAAACCACCTGTATTAGTCACTTTTCTGTTGCTGTGATAGAAACATTGACCCAAGCAACTTATAGAAGAAAGAGTTTATTTGAGCTTATGGTTCCAGGGGAATTACAGTCCGTCATGGCAGGGAGGCATGGTGGCTGGAGGTGGCTGGAGCAGGAGCAGCAGAAGCTAAGGTCTCACATCATCACACAGGCACAGGAAGCAAGAAACAGAGCGACTGGAGATCTGGCAAGGTTTAAGAACTCTGTAAGCCCAGCCCCAGTGACGTGCTTCCTCCAGGATAGCCACACCTTCTAAAACCTCCCAAAACAGCACCACCATGTGGGGACAAACTGTCCAAATACTTGGAGCCTATGGAGGACATTTTCATTCAAACCACCACACCACCCATCCCTTGAACATCAGGGCCCATTGGCCAAACCCCACACACTGTTCTTGTTTCTGTTTCTGGCCCATCTTCCTGCATGTGTTATATATGGTGTCAGAGCTAACAGCAAACTGTGACTTGTTCACTGCTATTTCCACTGCCTGTTGTAGTCTATCAGACACCACTCAGTGCCGTCACCAGCTCGGGGGTGAGTGTCCATACACTGAACACACTTTAAGAAAAAAATAGATGAAGTAACAGACCCTCTGCTCACAGTCCTCTTCAGACAACAGGAAGAATCTGAGCTGCTAAAGATGAATAATTCACAAGAATGAAATTGACCCTAAACCAGAAACACATGTGTGCACCACCCCCAAGTGGAATTTAGAGAGTGAGAGAATGGCTGAAAAATAAGCCTCAGACTTTGCGGGAGAAGTTAACATTGTCAAGGTTTTGATAAAAGACAGGCATGGTGCGTTCAAGGCCAGCAAGAGATGACTTAAATTCAAAATCAATGGGATTCTTCATTCAGTTTTGCAAATAAACAAAAATAACGTTTTAAAACCTCCAGGGGACTCAGCAGTTTATATCTAGGAAGTAAAGTTTCAGCCAGTGGAGATTTTATTAGATAGATCTCTCAGAGACCAGAGTAAGCTGATTGCTATTTTATTCCTTTGTTCATAGGCTGCTGTCTTTTTCTAATATCTTAGTTCTGCTTGCTTTAGGGAGGTCATTTTTCAGATAAGCTAAAGTCAACCTTGTTAACTAGAAATGGATCATTCTAGAACTCAGAAAACCTAGTTAACAGCAAACAGCACTGGGGAGGTGACTCAGTTGGTAAAGTGTGCCAGGCAAGCATGAGGACCTGGGTTCAGATCCCTAGCACTCATGTAAAAAGCTGGGAATGGCAGTGTCTGCCTCTCATCTCAGAGCTGGGGAGGCAAACAGGAGGATCCCTGGGGCTTGCTGGCATGCATTCTAGCCTACTTGGGGAGCTCCAGGCCAGTGAGAGACCCTGCCTCAAAGAATAAGATGGAGAGTGATTGAAGAACTCCTGACATTGACCGCTTTTACCCACTTGCACAGACAGATGCACACATGTTTGCGCATGCACACGTGGAAACATATGAAGCAATGAACAAGGAGCCCTGGTGTCCTAGTTTGTTCTTTGTTGCTGTGACAAAATACTCTGACCAATATCAACTTGGGGAGGAAAGGGTTTATTCAGCTTACATCTCCTAGGTTGCAGTTCATCAGGGAGCAGGCTCCCAGTGGGATATGGCTCCGTCCCAGTGTGACTCTATCCCAGTGTGGCTCTATCCCAGCAAATCACGTAGATAGTTCTCTGCCCTATGGCACTGCTCTGGGCTTGCCCAGCCACTGGAGCTGGCATATTGCCTGTTTTCTCTTTTTAGACACGACAGCCACAGTTTGGCCACTAAGACCCACCAGCTGAGGTCTGAGGAAAGCAGGGTGACTCGTTCCCCTTGTCCAGGGTCCCAGGAGAGTGAGGTGTCCAGTCTGCAAAGCTGCTCTGGTTCCTTGGTGTTGGTTTGTAATAAATCTGTATTTAAGCAAAAGAAAAAAATAAATAAAAGCCCAAGGTAGGAACTCAGAGCAGGAACCTGGAAGCAGGAGCTGGAGCACAGGCCATGGAGGAATACTGCTTACTGGCTTGCTCCCTTGGCCCCTGCTCAGCCTGCTTTCTTACAGGCCCACCTGCCCAGGGGTGGCACCACCCACAGTGGGCTGGACCCTCCCACATCACTCAACAATCAAGAAGATGCCCCTCAGACATGGCCACAGGCCAGTCCAATAGAGGCAATTCCCCAATTGAGGCTGCCTCAACCCAGGTGTGTCAAGTTGACACTAAAGCTATCCAGCACACCTGGTTTAGACCTTGAATACTGGGGTCTGGACATTATGGATTTGGGGCAGGAAAGAGCTCCATTAAGGAATGATGTTAGCTAAAATCAGAACAGCTTTGGGCAGGACCCAGCTTTGTCTCAAGTTGACTTCTGGAACTTTCTGCTCCTAAGAGAAAGTTTTCTAGTTTCTCTGGAGATTTTTTTTTCTTTTTTTTTTTCAATCTGTGTTTAGCTGAATGCCTTTAATCCCAGCACTCGGGAGGCAGAGGCAAGGTATAGTGGCGCAAGCCTATAATCCGAGCATTTAGGAGGTAGAGGCAGGAAGACCAGAAGTTCAAGGTCATCCTCTACTGCATAGCAAGTTCTAGCCTGGGATACCTGAGACCCTATTTCAAGGGAGAGAAGGGAATGGGGAAGGGGGAAAGGGAGGAAGGAGGGAAGGAGAGAAGGAGAGAAGAGGAAAGGGAAGGGAGAAGATAAGGAAAAGAAATAGCTCCTTCGTGCTCTCAAGCCCCTAGGCTACTGAGGTTTCCTTCCGAGGGAACCCTTGCTCCTCACCCAAGTCAGTTCAAGTGAAGGAACCTGTTTATATTTCCTTTCTCAGGACAAAGTTTCTCAGCTGGAGATAGAGCTAGAAGAAGAAAGAAACAACGCAGATTTGCTGTCTGAGAGAATCACTTGGAGCCGGGAGCAGGTAAGATAAAGGAGCCCAAAGATGAGCACATCAACCTATGGGTAAAGGAACTGTAAGAGGTTAACCCGAGGACTGAGTCAGAGCAAGGAGGAAAAGTGCTCGTCATACAGAACACGATGGAAGATTCGCTAATCTTCACCTTAATGAAGCACGAAAAGTGGGGAATTGGTAACAGGAGGGAAGTGTCCGGATTGTTCATTGCAGGAAGCAATCTGTTAGCTACAGTAGGCCAATACAATAATATTTAGAGTTGTCCATTCAACTTGGGGTGACTAGGACTGGAGGTTTTGGAGTGAAGGGTCACCCTTATGAGCTACCAACCTCCATCAGAGTTGAGGGTGAAACACTCGCTGGATCCTTTGCCCCTGACCCTTCTTCTGGTAGTGACAGGTTTCTTTGCAAACAAGTGATGCTCAGGGCCCCACTGCTTCTGCCCAGACAGGGGTTCTAAGCCAGGCTACTGAGCTCTGGTTCTATGTAGGTTCCCAGACTGTGCTGATGGCATGATAGCATCTAGGGCCTGAGCCACAGAGGTTTAGAGAGGGACCTTCCTAAACACCAAGGCCCAGGTGGACAGCTCATCCTTGACATTGGGTCCCCAGAGTTCTTGCTGAGATTTTTAAGCTTTCTTACGGGAATCAAAGCTGTTTCGTTATAAATTCCTGCCAGCTTGGATAAGCAGCCAGGTTCCCCAAGGGCGTACTAGGATCCACTAAGCATGAAAAATGACAAAAGTGTCAGAGAATTTGTTTTTTCAACCTTTCTTGTGATTTATGCACCGTGGGAGAAATGGTGAGAACTTTGTCATCTTATCAATACCCAGGCAATTAAAACAGATTTCCAGTCTCATGTTTTACACCCCAAACAAAACACAGCCATGCTGAACCAGAACCTGGTGCCTCCCTGGGCTCAGTCACTGACCTGTGAGGTATCTGGTCCCAGAATGCCTTTGGCCTCTTCCTTTTCATCTGGGTACTGGTCATGGGGTTGTGATTGTTCTCCATGATGTGGTCAATGTTGAAATATTTCCACTGAGCCAAGAACTTGAAGTCTATGCAGGAAGATGAGAACATCTCTGCAGCTTGGGCTACAGAGATCACTGTGTTGGGAGCATCAGGCCTGCCCCAGAGCCACTGCCATGGAGCTCCGGTAGAGTCTCAGATTCCTGAATCTATGAAAATGAGGCTAGGACTGGGGATAGAGCCCAGTTGGTCGAGTGCTTGCCTAGCAAGCATGAAGCCCTGGATTCAGTCCTTAGCACTGACAGTATAAACCAGTTTAGTGTCCCATGCCTGTGATCCTGGGAGGTGCAGGCAGGAAGATCAGAGGTTCAAGGTTGTCCTTGGTTACATATTGAATTTGAGGCTAGCCTGGGCTACATGAGACCCTTTCTCATAATCAAACAATATAAAAAAAACAAGACTAAAGCCAGGCGTGGTGGTGCATGCCTATAGTCCCAGCACTTGGGAGGCAGAGGCAGGCGGATCTCTGTGAGTTCAAGGCCAGCCTGGTCTACATAGTGAGTTCCAGAACAGCTGGGGCTACAGGGAGACCCTGTCTCAAAAAGACAAAAAACAAAACAGAACAAAAAAAACCCCACAAACCCCCAAAAAACCAAGACTATTGATTTAGAAGATTCTGAAGGCTTTTCTAAATTCTAACCTTGAAGTACATAGAGAAGTTATAAGAACCCCCATATGTAAACTATATTGCTTAAAAAAAAAACAAAAAACGAATTCCACAAAGATCTATGGCTTCCTCTCCTCCCTGCCTCAGGTTTCCTCCCCTCATTAGCTCTATTTCCCTCTTCTATTTTCTTTCTTTTTCTCTGAGATAGGGAGGGTAAGGCCCATGTTTGCTGTAAATGGAGAAATTGAAAATCAAGTTCAGATTGCTATAGAAGCTCGCGAAACAGCAAAATAAAAACCCTGAGACGGAGTGATGCTTTTCCCTTCCTTTCAGTTTTTTTTTTTTGGTGATAGAGTCTTGCCATGTAGCCCAGGCTAGCCTCAAACTATCCTCCTGCATCAGCCTCTGAGTGCTAGGATTGTCTGCTGAGTTCTCTGACCTTTTCTGGCTTTTTCTGCCTCCTGGTTTGAGAAGGGCAGGCAAAAGGGATGGGCCTGCCTCACTGAAAGCATTTAACTCTCAAAATGGAGGTTGATCCAAGGCTGATTTTCTGCCTTTTAAAGTGAAGGTGGTGTGCACAGGACCTCGTGGACAGGTGGGCCCTGACTAGTTCACTCAGAGTTGCTTCCAGGGCCTGCTGGGCTCACGGAAAGAGGGACACTTAAAAACTGCATGCCTTTCTCATTTCCCTTGCGAATTCTGACCTTTTGACCCCCCCCCCAACAACTGGTACCTAAGGACAAAAAGTTAAAGATTACTGCTTGTCTAGTTAAAACTGAGATTTCCCAGATTCTTCCGAATCTTTGCTTCCCTGATAGCTCTCATTCTTTTTCCCACTCTTGGTGATAGGGCTTACGTCAGTAAGCCAGATAATGGGGTTACAGAAACATTAGTGAGTGGCCAGCCCTCTGACAGGACCTTAGATCTGGTAAGGACGTCAGAGGTCAAATCTTAAGAATTCTCCTGTAATGGATGAAAGATTTGAGACCCAGAGCCACACAGGGTTTTGATCACAGTCATGGGGTAGTTAGTTACAAAGCCAGCCTTAGGCCTCTTAATTCCAAAGACAGCTAGAAGTTACCAGGGCTTGAAAATACAGCAAACACTACTGCATGTATGGCTACAAAACTCCAAAATGATGCTAGGGCATGTTAAGGAGATGGACCAGATTTTTTTTTTTTAATACTTATTTTTTTCCAAAGAAAAATGGCAATAGCCAATTGGAAACCTACTTAGTCTTCAACTCCAATTTTGTGTTCTTTACACTTAGAAGTACTTACTGATTTACTATTTTAAGCAATGTCCCCCCCTTCCCCTTTAAATGTTTACCCATCTATTTGTCCTGGATCCTTCCAAGGAGATTGCTCCAGAGTATATCTACAGGTCCTCGCTTTGCTCCAATCATCAAAAATAGAAAAAAACTTCTTTGGAATAGCCAATTAAGATGAATGGAAGAAAAAAAAAAAAAAGCCACACGAACAACACGGTTTGGTTGGGGCAGTGATCCACTCCTATGTTCCTGGTAATCTGATCCCACTCCATGAATCCTTGTAATTCATCCTCCCTCTCCTACCCACATTATGATTTGAATTCAATGATCCAGTTCCAAGGATTGGGATCCAGTGAGCCCTCTCCAATCAAAACCCTTATAACCAGCAAAACTAAAAAAGAGGAGGCAAAATGTTAGATACCATAATCAATAAAGGTTTCTGGGGAATGATGAGTTGTGTCTTTTATCACTTTAAACAGATGTACATCAATATCTATTAAATTCCCCAAAATAAGTTTCTGTATGGTGTTTAGACAAATTTTAGAAACTTATTCATTGTAGAGACTAAATGGAAGAAGCATTTTATATTTACAGTTCAACTGATAATGCCAACACTTGTTACTGTACAGTGTATCCCAGGTTTTGTGGTTGCAAAAAGTTATGTAATTGAAAAGTTTACTGGCACTGCTACCCACCTGTGCTGGATAGCTTTAGTATCAACTTGACACACTTGGGATGAGGGAGCCTCAACTGGGGAATCGCCTTCATTGGACTGGTCTGTGGCCATGTCCATGGAGCACCTTCTTGATTGTTGAGTGATGTGGGAGGGCCCAACCCACTGTGGGTGGTGCCACCCCTGGGCAGGTGGACCTGTGTTGCATAAGAAAGCAGGATGAGCAGGGGCCAGGGGAGCAAGCCAGTAAGAAGCATTCCTCCATGGCCTGTGCTCCAGCTCCTGCCTCCAGGTTCCTGCCCTGAGTTCCTGCCTTGGGCTCCTGGATGAATGTGACCCAGGATATGTAAGCTATATAAACCCTTTTCTCCCCAAGTTGATAGTGGTCAGAATGTTTTGTCACAGCAATGAAGAACAAATTAGGACACCACCTAAGTCTAAACTAAATCTATTGCTCCCAGGAAATGGACCAGATTTAACAAATGGAAAACTAACAAAACAACACAGGTAACTAAATGCCAAGAGAAGGACCCAAGTAACTAATGGAGTAAAGGCCATCCTAGCCTTTCCCAGGGAAGGATTTTTGGACGAATCGTGGCCAGGAGTCAACTTTGAAGAAAGGATAGCTGAACAAGGGATGCAAAGCCTGCCAGGTGGAAATCAACACAGCATGTTGAGAAGCAGTGAATGTGTGTGAATGGCCCTGGTTTCCACGAGGGTACCAGAGGAGGTACATTTGGAGAGGCAGACTTTTGAATGGCTCCATCCTGAAGGTAGTAGGGAGCTGTGGAAGGCTGTTCATCAGGACAATGAAGCACAAATAGTGTTCTAGAAGGCAAATCTAAGAGCTGGGGATAAGGAGGGGAGACCCAGAAAAGGCCTTGATTAGACCGTTCCCAGGAGTAGAGGGACAGTGGCTGTGAGAGCATTCTAGTCTATGTCTCTGACTTTGTTCATTGTTCTTGGGTATATATTCTTTCTTGATGAATTGCTGGCCTTATTATTCAAATTCTGGGTCCCTCTGAGGCTTTTATTCCACATGCTCAGGATAATTTTCTTCAGGCTTATAGTTTCAGAGAATCCTAACCCACATAAATGTTTTCCAAACCTTTTGGAGGTTTGGACCTGGCTTCAAATCTAGCTGATGTGAAAGAGAATGAATGCATTTGCTTTGGTGAAGTATATTTATGAAAGGTGGGGGTTGTCTATTTTCTCATTCAAGTATAGTTTCACTAGACACTGAACCGAAAGGCTTCCGACAGACTTGTAAGCTGAAGGAAAATTCACTTAAGTTGTAACTATTTTCTAACTTTGGATCTGTTTAAACCCTGGGAAATATTTTTTCCTCTTCTTTTCTCTAAAAATTGTTTCCCTGTCAGACATAGTGGGACAGACCTATAATCTCAGCTACTCTGGAGGTTGAGGCAG